AAGATGCAAAATTCATTAGGGGGGATAGTGTTTATAAGGGGAGCTAGGCATAAATACTTTGGATTGACCAATTATGAGGTGGACTTAATTGTAAAAATCCCAAAAAAAAAAAAATACTAGCATCAGATTGAGTGTTGGCATTTATAATAGAAACATCAAATTGGACATTTCCTCAAGAAACAACAATGGTACCAAATGTTGTATTGATAATTCAAAGGATTTGTGATAGAAAAACGATATTCTCATAAAATTTGTATTGACTAACCTAAAATGTTGCAAGTAGAAGTGGCAATAATACCAAACACAACCTAAGTATCGTATTGGTAATAACTATAGGTCTATAACCAATACTAGATACATTACAATTGGATATGTATCCAGTCAATGGTGCATATCAAGGCATATTGTACTGTTGTGTTTCGGTCTATATCGTATTTTATCGGTCAATACACACCAATACAGACCGATATGCAATACTTTCTACTAAAAACTGAAGATAGAGTGATTCAAACCTAAGTCACATAGCGCACAATGCACTTAATACTTAAATCGACCTTTATACAACTAGGCCAACTTGCTTCTCATGTTAGTAAGTGAAACAAAATGACTTTTATTAATATAGTATCTACATGTGATCTAAAATAAATAATACATATCTATGTTTAATAATTCAAATTAAAAATCAAAATGAATAATATTCAAAATTAATATTTTATAAACTAATGAGATAAATAATCTACCAATTCTACATTAAAAGCAAGAGATGATATTCATCTCAAGAAATCTATACAAATAAAATATTAATAATAAAATAATTATTTTGGTACTTAAAAATATAGATATCTRTGTGTATTTAAATTATTAATTAATATTTTAATTTACATTACATTAAATAACAAAATATTTAAAAATATAATATTAAATAGAATCTATCAAATCTATTAATTAACATTTATATCAAAAAATGGTTTTTAATTTTAAAAAAGTTATAGAAACAAAAGCATTAATAATGGAATAATTATTTTAGTAATTAAAAATTTGCATATGATATGTATCTAAAAAATTTTAGGGTAAATTACAAGGACCCTCGTGTACTATGGGATCAATGACAAAGCCCCCCTGCACTTTTTTTTGTGACAAAGACCCCTGAACTTTGGTCATTAGACAAAGACCTCCTTGATCGTTAAGTCAAATGAAAAGGTGTTAAAATACCAAAATACCCCACTAAACTGTTCAAATTTTCTTTTACTTGACATTCTTTCTTAGAACCTAACTAACCCAAAAATTAGGGGTGATCATGGGTCGGGCTTTGCACTTATTATAAGGGCTATAGCTTAGGCCCGGGATTGGCCCAAGGTTCCAGGCCTAAAATATAAGCCCTAGCTCAGGTCTATATGGGCCCAGGGCAGGCCTAATTTCTGGCCAATGTCACTCATATATAAAGYGTTACATATCTATATATTAAATGGCATAACATGCACATAAACTTATTTTATACATTATATAATACATGTCATGTTATAATATTTATATATAAAATATATAATATAATGTAAAATAACATGTATACATATATATACATTATACACAAAATGTGTAAGTTTAAATATATGCGGGCTGGGCTGGGTCCGGGCCGGGCTTAAAGTATTAAGCCCAAGCCCGACCCTAAAATTTGCAGGCCTGATGTGGGCCCGAGCCCAAGCCGGGCTTGAACACAAAACCCAGGCCCAGGCTCAGAATTTCCAAGCTGGGCTTGTGTGGGCTGGGCCAGGCCGGGATGAAATGATCACCCCTACCAAAAATACTTTTAATCATCACGGGAAAAGGAAAAAAAATCCGAGCTTGTTTGATGATAAATCTCTTAGCAGTGAGAAATTAATCTGACTTTCTCACCTATGTAAAACATCCTCTAGCTTTCGATTGTGAAATGTCACCTATGTTTTGTTTTTAAACAAAACCCTAGCATTTTTCTTCTTCCTCACTACCCAATTGAAACAGTCTTTCAAACGTCTGAGTTTGATCCGTCAAAGTAGCAATGATGGATGTTCAAATTGGAGATGCAGAGACCTTCACTTTCCAAGCTAAGATCAACTAGTTACTAAGCTTGATCATCAATACCCTCTATAGCAACAAGGAGATCTTCCTTCAGGAACTCATCAACAATGCCTTTGATGTGAGTGATCACCTTTTCTATTTCCACAACTAATGCTTGATGGATCTATTATTTATACTTGTGCTTTTTCCTTTTGAGTTATTCATTTCTTTTTTTTTTCTTTGTCTTATGCAGGCGTTGGACAAGATCCATTTTGAAAGTTTGACGGATAAGAGTAAGCTTGACGCACAACCGGAGCTTTTCATTAGGCTTGTCCCTGACAAGGCCAACAAGACCCTTTCGATGATTGATATTGGCATTGAGATGACCAAAGCATATATGAAAGAGAAGGATCTATGTTGAGGTTCTTTTGTTTTTAGTGCTTTGATCGACATCGGTTTTAATTGAAATTGTTCAACACAATAGATCTGGTTGACAACTTGGGGACAATTGCGAGGTCATGAACCAAAGAATTCATGGAGGCATTGCAAGCAGGGGTCGATGTGAGCATGATCAAACAATTCAGTGTGGGGTTCTACTCGGCTTACCTTGTTCCCGAGAATGTCATAGTGATCACTAAGCACAACAACAACGAACAATACATTTGGGAGTCACAAGGTGGTGGATCATTCACTGTCACCAATGACGTCAATGGAGAACAATTGGGTAGGGAACTAAGAACACCCTTTCCATTGACCATACTTCAGCATGCTCCCTTTCTCCCTCCCTTTACTCTATTACCACCCATCACCACTTGACCCTGCATCTCTCTCATTCTTCTCATTTTGCTCCTACTCCCTGTTTCTTCTAAGTTCAAACCCCTCACTTCTTGATCCAGCCATGTCTGATGTCATCAAAGAATGTTGGGATAAAAATCTGATACACTTGTAACTCCACCCTCTCAAAACAAAGGTATGTCCAAATTTTGATTTTTTTTAACCTTTGTCTTCATATTTTGCTTCTTATTTCTGAAACTTCAATTTGAGTCTATCATTTTTGCTTTTTTTTTTTTTTTTTGCTTTGTAGAACTCTATGGCTTGATCACTACATTTATATTACCCGAACTCTATGTTTCATGTTTGCATCGTCATTATGGTCCCAAGGCAAGCACAAATATTAACAATACAAAGTGTTAGATTATCTCATAAATTAAAGAAAAAAGTAATATAAATTATAAAAGGGTAGCTTGGGTATTTAGAAAATTTTAAATAGTAAGATGAAAACTTTTTTCAAAGTTAACTAACAGAACACCAATGGAGGGGGTCTTTGTCTAACAACCAAAGTTTAGGGGGATCTTTGTCACAAAAAAGTATACAGGGGGTCCTTGTAATTTATCCAAAATTTTAATAGATTTGATATATTTTAAATTGAGATTATATATTTTTATAAATTATTATTTGATATTTTAATTTACATATGAGAATTTAATATTTGGTTGACTTTTTTTGTTAATATAAAAAATAAAAATAGTAAAATATAAAATAATTGATATAATAATTAAAATATAATATATGCATATGTTATGTGTTTTTGACTATTGATTGATGCATTATCAATACAATTGTATGATATCTATGCATCCAGTTATATTAATTATAATATTTTTTTCATATACAATATTAAAATATACATTGCCTATGTATTTGTGCATTATTTGTGGCTATTTGATTTTGAATTTAGTATTATTAATGTATTTATGGAATTTGTATGTGTTTCATTAGCATATTCAAGCATTTCCATATTTTTTTGTTCGTTTTCATGCACTTCCAAAGTGTATTTGTATTTGATATGATACCCAATACTGATACTTTAATCTTAATATTTAGGGTATTAACTCTTACTCTCTCATTTAATCATATATTAATTAACCATATTAAAGAAAAATAAGTGTTATAAAGAACAAATGTTTTTTATTGCTAATATAAATTATATACAAATTTAAAAACCAACACAAAAATGGAGTTGTATTTTTATTTGGTAGTGAGTCAACAATTTAACCTTTTTGGGACAAATGTGTAGACCCTTGATAGGCTTATCAATGATACTTAAAACTTGTATAACTATATTTAAAATTATAAAAAATATATTTATATATATTTTATATATAATAAACTCAGTATCTTATATTTATATTAATTCACTATATATAAAAGTTGAAAAGTAATTAACTTATATTTTTTATATTTTAAAAAATTAAAGTGGAGTTGGATTAAATTTGAATCTGATCTAAGTCTATAAGGATTAAAATTCGAATATGCATGTGGTCTTTAAATCCAATAAAGTTATGAATTGGATTTGGATGCAAGTTTTCAATAATCGATCCAATCCATTTACAACCCTAAGCCTTGATGTAGTAGTAGTAATAATAATAATAATAATAATAATAATAAATCTATGCGCATCTCCCATATATATATATAAATAAATAAAGATTTAATATAATGAATTAACCAATGGTCCTAATATGCTCAYTTCCCTAATTTCGATGTTTCACCCATTGTTTGGCATTTGCTATTCCCTGATTGCTTTGCATAATTTTGTATCTGTTTAGTTCTGTTGGCATTTATTGAGTAAACGTTATCACATAGGTGCCCCATCAACAAAGACCTCATTATGTACATCCATATATATTAATGTTTTGTAACAATAAACATCGATTTTTGTGCATCTCTCTCATATTAGAAAGTTTCATTTTGAAGCTTCCTCGAATGGGTAAGCATTTATTGGTACTTTTGCTAATGTAGTGTCTAATGGGGCTCGGTTACATGGGGTTCGGTTCGTTAGATTTGATCACCGGCCCGCTCCTGCCCGGTTTGTAAACATCGGTTGGGAGAGTCGGTAAACCGTAAACAACGCCGGTTGGTTGCTTCCATGGGTAGCGGTTCAGTCTGAGACTAGTCTGCGGCCTACATTACAAAGCTTCCTTTAACCTCTCTTGCCTCGCAAGCAAGGAAGATCAAAAGCTCCGAGTGGTGGCAGTAGCAGTTTAGCAGGAAAGAAATGGCACCCGAACCCGAAGAAGAGATCAACGAGAAGAATCCTCGACCCCTTGACGAAGATGATATCGCCCTTCTCAAAACTTACGTAAGCTTGGCGTTAAAACCCTAATCCTTTTTTCCCTCTCTTTCTCTTTTACAGCTTGAATAGATTCCGAAATTTGATCTGTTTTATTGCTGGCATATTATACTTGCAGAAGGTTACCTGTTCCTTACCTCTTGTTCTTTGCAGTTTTGCCTTTACTTTCAGTAATTGGCGGGAGGCCATGTTTTGTTTCTGGATCGTTTCTCTCTAACTGGGTTATCTCCTGTTTTGTGTAATTTTAGGGTTTCATCTATTCCGTGTATACGGATTTCGAACTTTCTTTTTTTTGTATTCTGGTTCAGCAATAAAAACTCTGTAGCTTCGGTGCTCTTTGATGAGTTCTTACTGAAGTCCTTGATTGTTGCATTTAGCGATTTGCTTCCAACTTCTGTAATGTAGCGGCAATGCCATGCCTGCTGCTATTGAGTCCAGTTGCGGGGAGTGAAGACTCCATTAAAGTAGGATAAAATTGAACCCGGTATCCTTTGCAATATCCTCGGTGGATCATGTGCAAATAACAATTGGAATATGGGGAGAAAACTCCTTAAAACATAAAATCTCCGGCAGGARACTTACATGATTTACTTAAAAGAGCTTCGTGGGTTGGATAATGAGAGAAAGCTCGGAATCCCATAGTTTAAAAGATATTCTTCTTGATACGTTGAAATGGATAAACAAGATTCATTTAGCTGACTCTAAAATCTAAATAGTGGGGATAAGGCCAAGTTGACGGCTATGCTCATTGAAAACCCGACAAAGAGAAATTATAATTACACAAKATAGAAATTACGACAGGGAGACAAAGAAGTTCTCTCCCATAAATCCGGTATGACCCAATAAACTCTTGAGAACTTGCTTTAACTTGTTACCTGTCGTCTTCTGTTTGAATTTTGAAATAAACTCTTGAAAATTCTGAACAACTTTAGTAATACTTGAAGAAAATAATTTGGAAAATCAGAATGCAATATGGCTGTCTGAGGAGGAAAACCTTTTTGTGGCCTCTCATGCCCGGAAATTTGGTCTGGAGTCAACATGAAACCTTTCCTCTCCACCATTCTCTTATAAACCCACTGCTGTTATTCTGGGGCCAAAAGACCCGTAATTACACTTCAGAGTTAATCCAAAATAAAATTAGGTTTCTACTTTACTGTTTTGGTAAGAACATTAGAAACTCGTAATGAGAAGCACATCCTATCCCTCTCTCTATAGATTTCCCTTGCAAAGCATGTGACACATAGCTATAAATAAAAACTTTTCTCTTTCAAGTTGATTTTATTTTGGTTGCTGGTTGTTTTGCATCTTTCTGCCCAAACTTCTTCTCAGGAAGCTTCTGGCTATGTTCTTTCTTGGATTATTGTGCAAGTTTAAAATTTCAGTTTTTCCTACATTCCTCCATTCCACGATACATGTTTAGAGGTCTCTGTAGTGCGTTCCTATATCCATTTCAATGTTCTGATTGCAGGGTCTGGGGCCTTACTCTACTAGCATAAAGAAAGCGGAGAAGGAAATCAAGGAAATGGCCAAGAAAGTAAATGATTTATGTGGTATGCTTCTTAGGCCTGTTATAATTTAGAGGGTTTGTTGCATGTTCAGTGCCAGGCTTAATGCATGTCATTGATAATCTACAAAATGTAATTAATAAACTATTTTGAGTATCTGGATTAAAATATCTTTCATATTTCTTGAGAGGAATTGGATAGACTGAATGTATATCAGCCTGGCTTGATATACACTTATGTACTTGACAAAAAGGAAAAGCATAGTATTTCATTTTGTCAATATAAAACAAAAACAAGATACCCCTGTACAACTAGAAACTGAACACAGGAAATGTACAAAAACACCTTTACATCCCCAAACAGAAATCCCTTGACTGTTTACAAAAAAAATCCCATTAATAATTGCATTCATCCCTTAAAATAATTTGTTAATCGCCACGCCAACTAAGATTGTATTTTTCCTATAACCCTTCATATCTTTTTTATTGTCTTTTTGTTTTTTATAATTTACTGATTCTGTGAAATGCATATCATATTGTGATTCTTATCTGCTCCATAAATCAGCAAGGTTCTTATAATCCTAAAAGGTACTTGTTTTACTTGTTTTCTTCTTCTTGCTTTTATGAGCAATTGGGAGATTTCAAAGATGCTCTCTGTACACTTCTTATGATCAATAGATTTTTTTTATTAGATAACACTTAAGGTGAGTTAGTTACAAATGATACATAGAATGCCTGCTTAGCATTCTCCTAGTGGGGCTGATGCCTTCCCCATCCCCTTACATGCAGTTCCCTAAACAATAGCCCAATACAATTGTTCCCTGTTCACCCCTTGTCTTGCCATGGCATCAGCCATCATGTTTGCTGATCTGCATGTCTATATGAAACTTGCATTCAGTTCTGAAATCAGGGTTCCCTGTTCACCCCTTGTCTTGGATTTTTGACATTCAAAAATCCATCAGTTTCTGATAAAAAGATGCTGTTTCAATCCCCATCTGTCCACTTAGAAGTTGTATCCATGGATCAATATTTATTAATGTTGATATAAACAAAACTCCAGTTTGTAAAATAGCATTGTTTTTTAGTTAAGAAATTTATGCATAATCTGGATAAAAAATCTCTGATGCAAGTGCATATGTCTTTTGTTGATTGTACTTATTTACTCAATGGAGTGTGACTTTCATAGGCCTACAATTTATAGAAGGTAATAATTGACATATTAAGTGATTGATATCAATCTGTTGAATGAATATAGAACTTTTTATTCTTTTTTTTGGTCTTAACATTTTCATCTATTTGTATCACATAGTGCATCTATATATTATTTCTTTCCTACTTATCAATTGATATCTTCCAATTGTTGAATCAACACTCTTAGTCTCTCATGGGGTCAAATCCCAAAAAATATTTTGCTTGGAATGTGATCTGCCAGTCAATATATGAAACTCTTATACCTGACATAAAGAGGATATTTCCTTTACAAATCACATTTAAACGCCCAATAGAGGTTAGATTGACATTGGTAAGCACTAAACAGTAAACCATGGTTCATTCATTGGATGGTGTAGATATTAGTTATTGGATTTTAAATTACATATATCTGGCATATGTTTATCTGCATTATATTGATATATATACATTGAACATGGCTTTGCCCTGCTCTAGTACTTCATGAGTACTTTGGGATGATCTCTGGTCTCTGCACTTCCATTCTTATGGGCAAGTTTGTTATTTTGTTAAATTTCACAATACTAAATTCTTAACATTTTTCAGTACATCTTTTGGATTACTCTTCCTTGACATCATCACTGTTACTGCCTTTCTTCATCCATTCCTTAAGAATTGGACACCGGACACCTATGCTGGTCTTATTTTATGCCTGAATAGGGTTTGCTTTTATTTGAACTATAGGTATTAAGGAGTCTGATACTGGTTTAGCGGCACCCAGTCAGTGGGATCTTGTTTCTGATAAGCAGATGATGCAGGAGGAGCAGCCTTTACAGGTACTGTTTTATATATATTTGTCCACATTGAAGTTTTGAATCAAGAATCAACAGTAGGCTGAAGCAGTGGTTATCCTGGAATGTAGGTTGCAAGATGCACAAAGATAATTAATCCAAATACTGAAGATGCGAAGTATGTCATAAATGTCAAGCAAATTGCAAAAGTATTTTCTGCCCAATGTCAATTCTTTTACTCAGCAATTCTTTTGGAAGTAGTCATAGCTTATGAAATTTTGACATGCAATGAGTTGTTTCTAGTAACTTCTTTGTTTCATTTTTTTTTGGCTGCAGTTTGTTGTTGGGCTCGGAGACAAAGTTTCCCCAACTGACATTGAAGAAGGAATGCGTGTTGGGTAGTCTTTCTGTTTATCCTCTTTGATATTTCATTTTCCATTTTTGTAACTACTAAGATCTTTCTCATTCCGACATTTGAAGAATCAACATTTTCATATTGATTGTCTGGACTTTGAAGATACAATGGCATATATGCTGGAAAATTATTTAGTGAATAGTCTTTTTTTCAGTCATCTCTTCATTCCTTGTGGCAGTGATTCCAGATTTTGCATTATCAATATATGGGTTGTAATTGCAAGCACATAGTTAAATACTTAGTTTTATCCAGCAAATTGTAAGAAAGGGGTCATTACCCAATGTGGATCCTGGCTATCCAGGGTATTGTGAGGATAGATTGGACAAGGTCCTAACCTTTGGCTTCTTTTGCACAAAGTGATTACGAATTTACTATCAGACAGAAACACTGTCTCACATTTGTCAACCTGAGATTTTACCATAGGACCAATTAATGGCTCCATCTTCCAATAAAAAGAGAATAACTTAGGAATATCTTGTCTTCCATTGTTATTATGTATCTACTAAAACATACTGGACTTGATATATTAGGATGTATGTTTTTGCTAATGAACGGTTTGCTGGTTTCAATGAGCTATTTTTTGTTTTTATTTTGTTGTTTATGGGTATAAAGACAACAGATGTTGAGAAGTAGGGGTGAGCAAATTTTGGTTGAAATTGAAAAACCAAACCAAAAATTTCAGTTTCAGTTTTGCAGTTAGGTTATTTTGGTTCTCAGATTTGAAAATCTGGTTAACTGAAAAAACCAAATTAACTTAGGTGGCGTTTGATAAATCTGAAATCTGAAATCTGAAAAGTTAGAAAGATATTAAAAGTGTTTGGAATCTGAAAAGAGGCATTAATGCTTTTCTACTTTTTAGAGGCTCTAAATATTAAGCTTGTTTGTATTGGACCAAACCTTTAACATCTGAAATGCTTTGATTTTACTATTTTACCCCTAGAATAGACTATTTGGTAAATTTGAGCTCAATTGGTACTGTTTCATATAAATAAATTATTAAATTCAAAAATAATATTAAAAATATGAATAAATTATAAAAATAAAAATAAGTTATTAAAATAAGAATGAAATTGAAAAATAAATATAAAATTAGAAATTAGAAATAAATAATTAAAAGTTAAAATAATAACGAAAATAGTAGTAAAGTCCATGAAGCAATGAGAAAATATTTAATAATTAACAAATTAATATCTTAATACTATTAAAATATTAATAATTAGTAAAGATTAAAATAATTAATAATTAATACAATAAAAATTATAAATAATTTATTAAAATGAGAATAAAATTGGAAAGTATGTATAAATTTATAAATTAAAAATAAATTATTAAGAATTAAAATAATAATAGTAAAGTCTATGAAACAATTTAAAAATATTTAATGATTAGAAAATTAATATCTTAAAAACTATTAAAATATTTAATAATTAATTAAAATTGAAATAATTAATTTTACATATTTTGGCTTACATTAGTTGCAAAGGTAGCAAATGGTACATAGAAGACAATGGGTGGGAGTGGAGAAGAGATGGAGAGGGAGGGAGGTGTTAACCGCCGTTGCTGAGAGTTGCAGCGGCGGTGGCAGGATTTCACAGCGAGGCCTCTTGCAACAGAGATCAACGGCGACGAAGCCAAATGGGACGGAGAAGACAGTGGTCGGGAGTGGAGAAGAGATGGAGAGGGGGGGGAGAGAGAGAGAGAGAGAGAGAGAGGAAGGGAGGGTGTTAACCACCGCTGCTGAGAGTTGCAGCGGTGGTGGCGGGATTTCACAGCGAGGCCTCTTGCATTAGAGATCGACGACAAACTTAGAACAAAAATGATCGTGAAGGACTGGGACCCTTTCTTCGAGTTCTCAAAGAGAGAAAGAGGGGGAAGAATGGGATTTGAGAGATTTCCGGTGACATCTCCATGGCAGGGTTTCTTCAAGTTCTCTTAATCGCCATCTCCCTTCTCGTTCGATGACAATGAAATATGAAGGATATGATTTGTCGTTATTAAAAATATAAAGGATATTTTAGACTTTTCGCCAGGTCTGAAACGCATCTGACCACGTTCAGTGCCTGGCCTGGGTCTTAAAGTTTAAGATCTGAAAATGGCATTCAGATAATTTTTAAGACACGACTCCAAACGCCTATTACCTCTGAAAAGTAAGTTTTTCAGAATTAAGAGGCAAATTCAGCATTATCAAACGTGGCCTTCATTTCATTGTGGGATATTTGGTTTATTTGGTTCAGTTTTAACCCAAATAAAACGAATGCTCACCCCTATTGAGCAAAAGATTTCTTTGCTAAATTCTGGTGCAGAATATGAACTATCAAACTTCCAGATCTGAAAATTATGATGTTAATTGCACTCCTGGAGTACTTCCTAGTAAAATGTTTATTCAAATGAGTACTGCGAGAACCTTGCTGTCAGGAGCTTGGTTCATGAACTATTCTCATATGATTGTAATTCTTACAAGAAGTAAATGATATATAGTTTTCTGACGTTTATTCCTTCATATAGAGCTTTTTTATAATTAACTCCTATTTTGGTGAACGTCATTATTTTCTTATTTGGTTTCAGGGTGGATAGAAATAAATATCAGATTCAGATTCCATTGCCTCCAAAGATTGATCCAAGTGTAACCATGATGACAGTAGAAGAGAAGCCTGATGTTACATATAATGATGTTGGTGGATGCAAGGAGCAGATTGAAAAGATGCGAGAAGTGTGTAATATTTCCTTGTTCTAACAATATATACTTCTTGGAAAAGGGCAAATATATTAAAGTCCAGACATGTGTGTATATGCTATCATATCATTTGGCTTTGGTTTAATAATTGAAAGCCAAGCGTGTTTATGCTATTATTGTTAGATACCCTGTTTTGTACCTTCATTTAACCTTTATATGCTTTTCTTTTTGCAAGGTTGTTGAACTGCCCATGCTTCATCCAGAGAAGTTTGTGAAGCTTGGAATTGATCCTCCCAAGGGTGTTCTCTGTTATGGTCCTCCTGGAACTGGCAAAACACTCCTAGCTAGAGCTGTAGCCAATAGAACTGATGCTTGTTTTATTCGTGTTATTGGAAGTGAGCTTGTTCAGAAATATGTGGGTGAGGGTGCTCGCATGGTTCGGGAGCTTTTTCAGGTTATTGTCTGAATGTGAATTACCCATTTTGATCAACTAGGTTTTTTATTTTGCAACAAACTGTTTCCCTAATTTTCAACCTTGTTTGGTCCTTGGGCATCATCTGCTTTTTTTTTCTGACATTTTGATTTTCTTTAGATGGCACGTTCAAAAAAGGCTTGCATCGTCTTTTTTGATGAAGTAGATGCCATTGGTGGTGCACGTTTTGATGATGGTGTGGGTGGAGACAATGAGGTTCAGCGAACCATGCTTGAAATTGTTAACCAGCTGGATGGTTTTGATGCTCGAGGAAACATTAAAGTTTTGATGGCAACAAATAGGTTTGTTATCTGTGCTATTGGTTGTTAGTCAATTAGCCATTGCAGTAAATATTTGTCTCTTCATTAAATTTTTATGCCCGGCCAACTTTTGTCTTCAAATACAATTGGATAGTTTTTTCTTTTCTTTTCTTTTTTTGATAACAGTAACAGATTTTATTAATGAAACAGAAAAATATGTACAAGTACAGCTTCCCCAGGGGAGGTAGACTGTGTCCAATACAATTGGCCCCTGTTTCCCCCTTGTTAGCTAATGTGTCAGCCAGCCCGTTTACAAATCTTGATACCTACTGTATTCTTATCAGCATATCCCGTACTAGGCGTTGAATCCTTTTTAGCACCTCCTTGTGAGCTCACACTTCCTTTTTCTAATCCTTTAGCCACCCAACCCCCACTTGAGAATCACTTTCAATAATTAACCTGTCAATATTCATTTCTTTTGTCCTTTGTTTTCCAACCAATACTGCAAAGAGTTCAGCTCTTGTAGAGTCCCCAACCAATCAAAAAGCTTGTATCATCATTGTATGAATTACCTATCACATAGGAAGCTTCCTTGCACAATATGCCATATTTCTGCCATGCACAGGGATGATGTGACCAATCCAAGCCATCAAGCAAGTACTGAACCCTTGGTTAACCCACCTGTACAATCTTCCAGTTCACATCAATCTGTGACCCACCTTCTACTAGAGCTGCAAATGACATCCATTTATCTGAATTCAAATTTGATCTGGTTTAGGGCGATCTGGGGGCAATCTGGGGGCAATCTATTTATAATTTGATCATATATGGATCACTCCTATCCAATCTGATATAATCTGGTTCAATTTAACTTTAATGTATATGTTTATATAAGAAGAAAAATAGCCTTTTGAGAAGAAAGGACTGTTTAGAAAGTTGCAAAAATTCAAAAGAAAGTAGCAGAAATCAGAGTTCAAGAGGAGAGAAGAAGAAGAAGAAGAAGAAGAAGAAGAAGGTGGCGGCAACTTGGGTTCAAAGAAGCCCCTAATTCTATTTCATTAAGTTAAACTTTGGTAATTTACTGAGAAGCCCCTAGTTGGGCAGAAAATTAAAAAGACATAACATAAGAAAGAATAAAGCCGAGATTAAGGCCCATTACAGCAAAGAACATAAAAGATAAAAAAGGATAAATAGCTTATGGGCCATTCGGCCCATCTTCTCTACACTCCCCCACAATCTTAGCATAGATGTCAATCATGCCAGTATCATGCTGAAGTTTAGCCTTGGGAATGCCCTTGGTGAGGAAATCAGCTAACTGTCATTTAGAGGTGATGAAAGGTAGATACACTTCTCCAGAAGCTACTCTTTCTCGAATGAAGTGTCTGTCAACTTCAATATGTTTAGTTATGTCATGTTGCACTGGGTTGTGAGCAATGTTGATGGCGGCCTGATTATCATAGTATAACATCATTGGCTTATCATGCTCAATACCTAGTTCCTCCATCAAGGATCTAAGCCACAATAGTTCAGAAACTCTATGAGCCATGGCTTTGTATTCTGTTTCGGCTGAAGATCGAGCAACAACTGATTGTTTCTTGCTTCTCCAATAGACAATATTACCTACCACCAAACTACAATACCCAGAGGTAGATCTTCTGTCATCAATGTTTCCGGCCCAGTCAGCATCTATGTAGGCTTCAAGTTTCATATGGTCATGCTTAGCAAATAGAATTTCCTTTCCAGGGGATCCCTTCAAATAACACAGAATCTGCTTTGCTGCTGCCATGTGAGTATCCCTGGGAGCATGCATGAATTGACTGATACAACTGACAGTATATGCAATGTCTGGYCGAGTCATGCATAGATAAAGAAGTTTTCCAAGTAGTCTTTGAAAGACTCCCTTCTAACAATATTGCATCTGAAGCAGAGAGTTTATGGCTCATATCGATAGGAATAGCAATTGGTCTAGCGCTTATCTTCCCTGTTTCAGAGAGCAAATCAAGAACATACTTTCTCTGAGAGATAAAGATCCCATCCTTGGATTTAGCAACTTTTATGCCAAGAAAGTATCTTAGTTTCCCTAGATCTTTGATCTCAAACTCTGTATGAAGGAAAGATTTGAGATCATTAATCCTTGAGACATCATTACCAGTCACAACAATATCATCAATATACACAATTAGGTCAACGACTAAGGATCCTCTCCTCTTCACAAAGAGAGTATGATCAGACTGTGTCTGTACATAGCCGAAGCTAACAAGGGCAGCCCTAAACCTTTCAAACCATGCTCTAGGGGACTGTTTGAGTCCATAAAGAGATTTCTTCAGCCTGTAGACTTTTCCTTTCATATCTGCTTCATACATCCCTGGAGGAAGAGACATATAGACCTTCTCATGTAATTCTCCATTCAAAAATGCATTCTTTACATCCAGTTAATGAAGTGGCCAGTCTAAGTGTGCAGCCAAAGATAGCAGAACTCTCACAGAAGTCATCTTGGCAACAGGGGCAAAGGTCTCCAGATAATCAATCCCATATGTCTGTGTATAGCCTTTTGCAACCAGCCTAGCATACCTTTYAATGGTGCCATCAGCATGATATTTGATAGTAAAAACCCACTTACAGCCTACTGGATCATTCCCTTTAGGCAAATCAACCACTTCCCAAGTGTCATTCTTGTGCAGGGCATCAATTTTTGTTCTCATAGCATCCCTCCATTCTGGAATATTAAGAGCTTTTGACATAGACCTGGGAATTGGGTTA